GTTCCACCATCAGTAGAAAGATGTTCCACCATCAGATGTAGAAAGATGTTCCACCATCAGTAGAAAGATGTTCCACCATCAGTAGGAAGATGTTTGAAAGCTTTAAGCCTGAGTTCTCTACAACGCTGTGAGATCAGTGGGTCAGCAGGTAGGTTTTCAGTGTCACAGAGGTGGCTCCTTTTTACCTGCTAGGTCTCCATGGTAACTGATGCTGTGGAGCTAGGTCTCCATGGGAACTGATGCTGTGGAGCTAGGTCTCCATGGTAACTGATGCTGTGGAGCTAACCTGGTCCAGGTTCTGTTCAGAGTTCCAGATGTAAACCGGCTGACAGAGCGTCTCCCTTTAACCAGATGGTTTCCTGAATGTTATTTATGAGCGATCCAGACTCTCAGCTGAATGTGTTTATCTGCTAACATGCGTTGATTGATGAAGAAAGTTGAACCTCCTTCATGATACCTGTGGTCTCTGCTGGAGCTTTAGTTCATGTGGAGCCGCTACACAGAGAAAGTCTGGATTCATAGTTCAGCCCTCAGGCTTAGTTCAGGTGTGAACCAGGTTCAGTTCCAGGTGTGAACCAGGTTTAGCTCCAGGTGTGAACCAGGTTTAGTTCCAGGTGTGAACCAGGTTCAGTTCCAGGTGTGAACTAGGTTTAGTTCCAGGTGTGAACCAGGTTCAGCTCCAGGTGTGAACCAGGTTCAGTTCCAGGTGTGAACCAGGTTCAGTTCCAGGTGTGAACTAGGTTTAGTTCCAGGTGTGAACCAGGTTCAGCTCCAGGTGTGAACCAGGTTCAGGGTCAGTGTCCTGGTAATCCGTGGTGTCCACTATGGTCCCCACACTGCCAGCAGCAGAGGAGCGAGTGTTCCTGCAGGATGTTTGCTCCGTGTTTCCGTCCTTCAGGCTGGAATGTGGAGAAACAATGAAGGGAAACACCTCACACCCCCATGACATCATCGTTCTTCTGCCACACCATTGGCTGACACTCCACGCTGTAAAAAGTCTCTCCTCAGGTTATTTAGAGGTGTGTCTGGACCAGGACCGATCTGTGTGGATGTGGTCCACTCAGCCAGAATCTGTAAACACAGAAACAGTCCTCAGAACATCGGCTTTTATTATCTGTGACGTTTCAGCCGGAGATCCACAAAATCTCAAGTTAAAATCTTGACATTTCATAAAATGTACTTTTTTTCTACGTAAATTTCCATAATCAGTGTGTTTGCTCTAAAAGGGATCTGTAGAACCAGAACCTTCCTCCTGGTTCTGATCCTGTAGAACCAGAACCTTCCTCCTGGTTCTGATCCTGTACATCTGGAGACATGTTGGTTCCAGGTTTTTATTTTTATATAAAATAACAGAAAGGTTTTAAGGTGTTGCAGTGAAACACGAACCAGAAGCTGCTCAGAAGGTTGAAGCTGCAGCTCACAGCCGTGTTCAGAGGTTCAGCTCAAACGGGTCGTCCTTTGTATTTTCTGCAGTGTGTTTATGGGCGGCGACTGTTTGCGGTGGGCGGGGCTTGTGTGTGTCGCTGCGACCTCTGGACTCTTTTATTTCACCTCCCGACACACGAGGACGGTTTTGTGAACTGGAGCTTCGTCTGTGACTGAACACTGAGCGGGTTTTTTACTGTTATGACTTTTTCCAACAGAAGCTTCTCACTTTGCCTCCAACACAAGCCGCTCTTCTCCAGCGGCATCGTCTGGAAGCTCCTTGTCTGGTTTTTCTGACGAAGCTTGGTCTGAGTTCACCTTTTTGAAAATCTGCTTTTTGCCGCGTAAAGGAAGGAGTTTGTTTGCGTTTGTTTGAAGATAAAACCGGCTGCTAGAGGAGTTTTTGTTCTGGTGAATTTCAGTGCAGTTGGAAGAAGGTCTTGGTTTGTTTGGAGGAGCAGCTTCTGCTTCTGGGACGTCTGTGAAACGTCAGTGGACTTTGGTGCACAGCTTTCTGCAGATTTCTTGTGTTTTTTGGAGACTGAGACGATGATCCAGATGTTCTGTGTCGGTTAATGTGCAGCAGGTTTTCCTCGTCAGGACTTTGTTCAGTGGAGATAAACGTGGACTCTCAGGTGTGATGGAGGAGGAGTGGGCGTCGGCCGATCCCGCTCACCTGCAGGTCAGCTACAACCAGCTGGAGGGTCGGTTCAAACAGCTGCAAGGTGAGACCAGTCTGAGACGCTCCGTTTGATTGGCCGCCTCAGGATGACGGACGGATGTGATTCCAACACACTGGTTTCAATCTGGGGGTCGAGGCCTCGCAGCGGGTCGCTTCGTGATTCTGACGGGTCGTGACATGATTTAAGAAAAACTTGTAAAATCTAAACCGAGCCGACTGGCCGAGCTGCAAATTAAACAAACATCAATCAGGATTTTAACTTCTCATTATTATTAGAAGACTGTCCAGGTAGATAAACGCACCTGGTTTCAGGTAAACCTTCCATTAGAGCATGTGCTGAGGACTGTGAGGAGTTCAGGGAACATCTGGAAACCGTAGCGTCCTGTTTTAAAGCAGATGTTCATTCGCTGAGGAGTTCAGGTTCAGTTTACTCCTGAAGCGTCACGCAGGAACAGAAACGTTGCTGCAGATTAAAGGAACTCAGTGTGTGGCTGTGTTGCTGCCAGCAGGGGGAGACACACACAGCTGCACACCTGTAATGAAGAAAGAACACCTTCACAGTCCAACTAACTGTGTGTGTGTGTGTGTGTGTGTGTGTGTGTGTGTGTGCGTGTGCAGATGAGCGGGAGGCGGTGCAGAAGAAGACCTTCACCAAGTGGGTGAACTCCCACCTGTCCAGGGTGTCCTGCAGGATCACTGACCTCTACATGGACCTGAGGGACGGACGCATGCTGATCAAGCTGCTGGAGGTTCTGTCTGGAGAGAGACTGGTAACACAACAGACACACTACAGACACACTACAGACACACTACAGACACACTACAGACACACTACAGTTCCAGGTGTGTAGTTTGTGCAGCTGCATGTGGATGTGAAACCACGTCTTCTGCTTCAGCAGCGTTTTGTTGTTTTGCTCCCACAGATGGATGGTTGGTTTCATGTCACCATGAGCAGACATTATTTAGTCTCCTGTCCGATGTGACAGGTCCTGGATCAGTGACATGATGAGACATCACAGAGAACATTCCAGGTTTTTATCTTTAATAGATGTTGGACAGAAGCCTGCTGAAGGTGGGTCAACATTGTATAAGTCGAGCTAAAGTTCACAGACATCCAGTTTCTGACAAAGAGCTTCAGTTCAACCCTCTGATGGTCTGAGACGGTCATCCAGACTCCAGCTGAGAGCCGGTCCAGGTGTGTCCTCCGTCCTGTTTGCCTTCTTCAAACATCAATCAGTCGGGGCTGCTGGCCTTCAGTCTGGACTCAGACGTCCAGATAAGATATGTGCGTTGGCTGTGTTCCAGCAGCTGCTCCCTTCCTGAAGACAAGGACGCTCCACCGCTCACATCCTGTGCTGCGTTCAGGGCCAGCAGGACGGTCGGTTATATTGTCATCCAACTGAGATGTTTCCACCACCGGGACACGCGGAGGCTCCACATGCTGCAGATGTTTAAGTGTTTACAGCTTTTAGACGGAGAACATGTTGTCCTGAAGAAGTCACCAGAATGACACCGTTCATGTGACACGTACACTCGTGACTCGATAGTCCGACTCTTAACGTGAAACCTTCTCATACGTCGGATAGCGAGGCTGTCGGATCGTCAGGTCACAACCAAAAATATTTTCTCACCAGAAACCACGAAAATAGAAGAAAAATCATCAGGTTTCATTTTTCCAGATGGTCATTGAAGGTCTCGTGTGTGACGCGTTTAATCCATAGACTGTATAAAAGATGGACGTAGCAACCGTCCCTGAAACATGAATCCAACCCGGAAGTGTCAGAAACCTGCAGCATCACTACGTCCACTAGCTGCTGGCTCCACAAAGCCCTGGCTCCCATAGACTGGAACTGGAAGAGAAGTGATCACAGATCACCAAATACTGCATTCCTACAGCTCAGGATTGTTTTCTTATTAGTTTTCATGGTCAGATCCAGAGATCAGGTGGCCAATCTGAAAATAAATCAATACTGAGTTTTTAAAAAATCATCAACATGTTGCGGGGCAAGGGGCGTGGCTGGCTTGATTGACAGTCGGCAGCGACCATACAGATGAAGCGAGCAGAAGGCGGTAAATGTGGGCGGGGCAGAGAGGGCCCGCCTCTCAATCCGTCTGACCAATCGCTGCTCCTATGGCTCCGCCCCCTTCTGACAATTTTTGCGTCACTGGCTCCAAAAATCCAAGATGTCAACCAGGAAGTAGCAAAACCCTGGCTTCCTGTTCTCAGAGCAGAAACCAACGGGTGACGTCATGGTAGCTACGTCCATCTTTTATACAGTCTATGGTTTCATCAGATCTCTGCATCCTCCTGGAGCTCCTGTGGTCTCCTCCTCCATGAGTCCAGACCTCTCCTTTCTGCTCTGTGATGAAATGTCAGGATTTTAGGCTCAGATTGGTTTTACTGTTCGGATGGAACCACACGTCACAGATGACACGTTCAAGGAGTTTTGGAGAGTCAAGCATCTGAAGATTCGTTCTGGTTCTGGCTGATAAACGAGTCATTACCGTGAATTTTACCTCAGGAGGTAATTTTTTCTTAACTGAGGTCCGAAGAAGCTGAATAATTGTAGCAAAACAACAAATCTGTGATCAGTGAGCTTCATCCTGTGGTTACTATCGGATGAAGCTCTCGTTCACTTCAACACAGCAGCACTTTCAAACTCGTCTCTTCTTCTGTGGTTTCTGTCTGCAGCCGAAGCCCACCAAAGGCCGGATGCGTATTCACTGCCTGGAGAACGTGGACAAAGCCCTGCAGTTCCTGAAGGAGCAGCGGGTTCACCTGGAGAACATGGGCTCCCATGACATCGTGGACGGAAACCACCGCCTGACGCTGGGCCTCATCTGGACCATCATCCTCCGCTTCCAGGTAAGGACACGAATGCACCACGACAGGTGTGTTCACAGCCGGTCAAAGCGTCTGTAACAGAATGATCAATAAGTCTGATCAGGATGTGTCTGTACTTGTTAGCAAAAGTTCTGGGTGTGGACACAAACTGTTTCACACTTCTGCACGTGGATAAGAAAGAGCCACGCCCCCTTCATTACTCTTTAACTGGCTGGCCTCTGATTGGCTGCCCTACACAGTCGTTTACCTGCTCAGGTCAAAGTCCAGGCTGATTCATGTTTTACACTGTCGTCACGGAAACACTGGGCAGTGATATCACATGGTCCTGGTTCCTGACCAATCAGAACCCTCCTCAGATCATCCAATCACAGCTGCTGTTCCTCGTACAACTGTGGAGTGTCTTTGCCCTGAGCTCATCCTGTCAGGCAGACTGTGACCTCAGCAAGGCTCTGACCTTTGACTGGTGGAGCCTTGTGAGGTCACAGTCTCCATCCTATGAGTGAGATCGAGGTGTGAGCTGGTGTGAACAGGTGTGAGCAGGTGTAACTCTGCTGTGTCGTCCCACAGATCCAGGACATCAGTGTGGAGACTGAAGACAACAAAGAGAAGCGATCAGCCAAAGACGCCCTGCTGCTGTGGTGTCAGATGAAGACGGCGGGGTGAGACTCCACCTGTGCACCACCTGTCTTCCTGCCGTTGCCGTGGTGACTGAGACTAACTGTTGCTTCCTGTCCTCAGGTATCCCAACGTAAACATCCACAACTTCACCACCAGCTGGAGAGACGGCATGGCCTTCAACGCCCTGATCCACAAGCACAGGTAACTCCGCCTCCTCGCGAGGAGGGGGGCGGGGCATGTAGCAGTGTACAGGGTTGTAATGGTTGTGTCCGTGGAGCCTCAGCTGTGGTGTGTCTGTTGTTGTTCTCAGGCCGGACCTGATCGACTTCGACAAACTGAAGAAGTCCAACGCTCACTACAACCTGCAGAACGCCTTCAACCTGGCGGAGCAGCACCTGGGCCTCACCAAGCTGCTGGACCCAGAGGGTACCGAGCACTTCAACCAGTATAACTGACCAGTATA